ATAGTGATGATGATGATGATAATAATAATAATAATAACAACAACAACAACAACAACAACAACAACAACAACAACAACAACAACAACACAACACAACAATAGTAATAATAATAATCGCAGCAATAACAGCAACAACAATAGCAGTAGTAGTAGTAGTAATATCATATTGATATAATAATAACAATAATGATAATGATGATAATAATAATAATGATGATAATAATAATAACAATGATGATAATAATAGTACTAATAATAATGGTAATGATGATTGATAATACTGATAATAATAATGTTGACAATATTAATGAAAATAATAATAATGATAAACTTAATATAAAGAAACTGATAATAATGATAATAACTTTATTAATGATATTAATTATTGTTACTATTATTATTATTATTATTATTATTATTATTATTATTATTATTATTATTATTATTATTATTATTATTATTATTATTATTATTATTATTATTATTATTATTATTATTATTATTATTATTATTATCATTAATAGAAATGATGATAATATTAATAATAATAATAATAATATTGATAAGAGTAATAGTAAGAGTAGTTATAGTAGTAGTAGTAGTAATGATAATAAGGATAATAATGATAATTATTATAATAGTAATGATAATATCAATCATAATAGTGATAACAGAAATGATATTAATGATAATGATGATAATATAATAATAATGATATAATTAATAATAATATAATAATAATAATAATAATAATAATAATAATAATAATAATAATAATAATAATAATAATAATAATAATAATAATAATAATAATAATGATAATAATAATAATAATGATAATAATAATAATAATGATAAAAAATATATAATAAATGATAATAATAATAATAATAAAAGCAATCATGATAACAGCAATGACAATAATGATGATGATGATGATGATGATGATGATGATGATGATGATGATGATGATGATGATGATGATGATGATGATGATGATGATAACAATCATGATAATAATAATAGTAATAATAATAATAATAATTATGATAATACCAAAATAACAATCATAATACTAATATTGATAATAGTAATGATAACAATAATGATAATGAAAACAGTAATAATGATAATAGTAATGTTATTGATAATGATAATGATGATAATTATGATAATGATTATAATGATGATTTTAACAATAGTAAAAATAATTATAGTAATGATAATGATGATGGTGATAATAATAATAACAATAAAAACAATGATTCTAGTAATAATAATAATAATAATGATAATAACGACAGCATCATCATCATCATTATTGTAAACATAATAATAACAACAACAAAAATCACAACGGCAATAATAATGATGATAATAATGGTAATATTAATCATTATTATGATATTATTACTATTATAGTAATATTGATGAGGAAGAAAAATAATTTCATTGGCAGTAACTACAATAATAATAACAATAGGAATATCATTAAAATGTCAGTATTAACAGTGCTGAAAATGGAATTATTATAACAAATCCAAACAATGCTAATAACTTTTATTTCATGTTAGTAATTAACACCAACACATTGTGATTCATTTCTTGGAGGCTCTTCTGGTAGAAAAAAATCGTCCTTTGTAACACGGCGCTCTTTGCATGCAAGGTTCTCCTCTTCATAAAAATTGTAATAAACTGTTTTGCTCTCTTACATTAAGGCTGCAAGGAATGGACGTCATTTTTAGATTAAATTAAAGAAAGCTGACATTTGTATTTTATCCAAGACCTGGTCAAATTTCATACAATCGGCGCGTGCACACACACACACATACACATATACAAATTGTAGCAGTATAACCCTGCAACCTGCAGCTACGCATAATTGCTAGGCGTGGATAGATGAATTACATCTACCACTTTAACTAGTCTATATCATTTGGGGGAATGACTGTATGGGTGTGAGTTCCCAGGGGTAAGGTTGTGTTGGAGATGAAGTGGAGATCAGCTAAGGAGCTGGAGAGGCTCCCCGTGGCTGCTGCTTAACTATGGTGTGGCTGGATGATTGGGAGATGATGTTGTCCATGTGAGTCAGTGAGTCGCGAAAAGTGCCTGCTAGGGAGTGAGCGTGGACAATTGTGTAGACTTGGTGTGACCCAGCTTGGCAATTGTGCAGAACTGCTGGTTGCAGGGGCGTGCTGCTACAGTCAACATTCTGAAGCAAGCATACAAAAATTGTACAGCCCAAATTCAAACAACTGCTGGATAACAATACCAATGCACAGAAGGGAGTAAGACAGGGAGACACTCTCTCACCATTAATGTTTACTGCAGGGATGGAAGAAATCCTCAAAAGAATGGAACTGAATGTTGGGATAAATATCAATGGAGAAAAATTTAAAAACCTTAGATTTGCCGACATCATACTTTTTGCAGAAAGTGAAGAGCAGCTCCGGGAACTTCTTGTCAGACTCAACGAGGAAGGAAAGAAAGACAGCATGGAA